GCTGCGACATGCAGCTCTGATCCAGAACAATAAAGCCAATAAGGCCTGCTGCGGCGTGCAGCCCGATCCCATAATAATAAAACCTATAAGGTCTGTTGCGGCGTGCAGCCCGATCCCATAATAATAAAACCTATAAGGTCTGCTGCGGCGTGCAGCCCGATCCCATAATAATAAAACCTATAAGGTCTGTTGCGGCGTGCAGCCCGATCCCATAATAATAAAACCTATAAGGTCTGCTGCGGCGTGCAGCCCGATCCCATAATAATAAAACCTATAAGGTCTGTTGCGGCGTGCAGCCCGATCCCATAATAATAAAACCTATAAGGTCTGCTGCGGCGTGCAGCCCGATCTAATAATAATAATAATAATAATAATAATAATAATAATAATAATAATAATAATAATAATAATAATAATAATAATAATAATAATAATAATAATAATATATTTATAAAGCTGATATGGCCTGCTTCAGACGGGCAGCCCTGATCCCATAAATATCCTCACAATGGATGAGCATGACTAAGTATGAAATGTATATTTTAAAATATTTAATTCAACAGTAACACGACCCTATGGGTCCCAAAATATCGGCACATAGCCTAAACATGATCTTTAATACGAGCCTCAGCTCAATTTCTCTAACACGTGGAGGATACGCGGATAATAACATAATTCTTTAATTTTACAACTCCACAATATTTATTTAAATCACCATTTCTATAGTGCACACCCACACGGTCGTCACCTAGCATGTGTGCCACCTCTAACAATTGATATAACACAATATTTAGGGATTCATACCTTCCCAACCAAGTTTAGAAATGTTACTTACCTCAAACCGTATAATTTCTTACTCAGATATGCCTTTGCCTCGCGAATCAGCCTCCGAACGCCTCAAATCTAGTCACAATTAATTTGATTTAGTCAATACAACATATAGGAATTAATTCCATATGAAAAATACTAATTTTCCAAAACAAAATCTGAAATTTAACTCAAAAATCGCCCGTGAGTCCCACGTCTCGGAATCCGGCGAAACTCACAAAATCCCAAAATTCATTCAATTACGAGTCCAACCATACTAGTTTCACTCAAATCCGACTTCGAATCGACATTCAAATCCCAAAAATTTATTTTATGAAATTTCTACAATTTTCTCCAAATTTTCATCTTAAAATACTAATTGAATGATGAAAACAATGATATATTCATGTATATTAACCAAATCTGAGTTAGAATCACTTACCCCGATGAATTTTTTGAAAAACTCACAAAACATCGTCACAAACCGAGCTTCCAACGTCCAAATGTGAAATAATACCCTAACCCTCGGTTATATAGTACCACGTATGATCTCCTAATGTGCGGTCCGTACATTTTCAAGGGTTGTCCGCATATTTCCAAGTTCTACGGCCGCAATCCAAATTATGCGGTCACACTTCACAATGACTGTACTACCAGATTTTGGTAAAATGCCCATAACTTTCTGTACAAATGTTCAAATATTTAAGACTATACATTTCTAGAAACCAGATTCAAAGGGCTACAACTTATGTTTTTGAATCATCTCTAAATTCCTTGTAGATTAAAAGATATATGCTTACGAAGTCGGACCAGCGAACCTACGAAATCACCTTTTAGCAGCCGCAAGAAGAATTCTGCGGACCGTACAATTTCAACTGCGGTCCGCATATCTTCAAGTGTGGGCCGCACAATTCCTACCACCCAAGGACTTTGGGAGTTTGCGGCCGCATTTCTGCAATCTAAAATGTGCCTTCCGCACTTCAACTGTTCCATAACATCGTCAGAGTGTCGAAATACCCGGACTCGCTCAAAACTCACCCCGGAACTCATTCGAGCCGCTCGGGATCCTGTTCAAATATACCAACAAGCCCTGTAACATAATACGGACTTACTCGGGATTTCAAATCACGTCAAGCAACATCGAAATTACAATTCACACCTCGATTCAGACTTATGAGTTTCAAACTATTCAATTTACAAAACTCAAGTCGAAACATACTAAATGAATGAGGAATAACTTCAAATTTGGCACACAAGTCATAAATGACATAACAGAGCTATTTCAATTTTTAGAATCGGATTTCGATCCCGATATCAAAAAGTCAATTCCCCGGTTAAACTTCCAAAATTAAAGATAAGTTTTTATAGCCACAAAAATATTATAGTACGTTAAACCTACAAGTTTCAGAAGTCCTATATAAACGTGGAAATGTTATGATACATTTAAAATCATAAGTTTTAAAATTCTTTCTTTCTTTCTTCCGTGCTTGTCAAACAACATCATATAAATATCTATGGCTTGTTTTATAGCCTATTTGGCCAAGCTACTAAATCAATTATTTTGAAAAGTGTTTTCCTTAAAGTGCTTTTCAAAAAATCACTTTCGGTGAGAACTAGTTTGTGTTTAGCTAATTAATTTGAAAAGCGCTTTTGAGCAGCAATTAGTGTTTGGCCAAGTGTTTAAAAAATATTTTTAAGTGTATTTTATCTCAAATGTATTTTTTAAAAACGTGCTTTTGAGTAGAAGTTACTTTTGTCTTCTTCTCAAAAACTGACTTCTACTTAAAAATATTCTTTTTCCTTTTACTGGCCAAACACCTTAACTTTACCACAAAAAAATACTTTTGGCCAAAAAGAAACTTAGCCAAACAGGCTGTTAGACTACAAAAATTTCTTAATTTTCATACGCGATCAAACAATCACATAAAATGAGATCAAGAGAATAATTGTTCTTTAATAAGCGTGTAAAAACTTATTTGACAACTGAATGGAAACAAAGAAAGTACTAGCATTTTGGAACTAAAGATAAATAAATTATTAGGCGCCTGATTAAGATCAATTAATATATATTCATACTTTAATTTATTATTGTCAAAACTAAAATTATTTGAGTCGAATAGGGTTTTTTCCCTTTCCGTGCCGTCTCTATTTTCCTTTTTCCCTGTTGTGTCTCTCTAATAGCATGTTGGCTAAACTGGAAAAATCTGCTTATTTTGATAAGTATTTTTTTTCAAAAGTGTTTTTCGAAAAAGTATTTTTGGAGAGAAACAGTTTGTGTTTGACTAATCAATCTGAAAAGCACTTTTGAACAATAATTTGTGTTTGATCAAACTTTTCAAAAAGTGCTTTTAAGTATCAAATTACGAATAAGGACATGAAAAAATTTACTTAGTATTTAATATTATATGAATAAATAAATAATCTCAAATATTTATTATTAAAGATAATAATTAAGTTTTTTTATTTTATTTAAGTAAAATATAAAAATAAAATTTAAAAGTACTTTAATTATTTCAAGATGATTTAAATATATCAAAAAAATTATTTAACAAATATAAAAGCATTCATCCCAAATGTCATAGTATATTAGAAAGTTATCCTAAAAATAAAAAGAAATATTAATACATTAGGAGAGTTCAATAATATAATATCTAATTGTAGGTATTAGGTTTAAAATAAGCAAGACTATTTTACTATATACCATATTTTGCTAAGGATATTCTTGGTAAGAAGAAAAATCAAAACTGCTTATACTTCTGTTTTTTCCCAAAAATACTTTTTTCTTAAAAAAAAAAAAGCTTGGTCAAACACCTCAAGTTGAGAAAAAAGTATTTTTTGAGAAAAAAAAATTACTTTTGGGACGGAAAAAACTTGATCAAACATGCTATAAGCTTACAGAGGGAATAAAGAGAAAAGAGCTCTTGGTTCTGTCTTAACTCCCCAAGTTCCAAATGCTCTAAAAACACCATTTCTATTTTTAGCAGCAAAACTTCTGAATACTATCTATAAGCTCTAAGATGTTACGTCACCCATTTCCCCTTTCTCTACCTTCCAAAAATAGCAATCCCTTTCGTTCTCTCCCGATTCCCCCTTTGACCCTCCTNGTAAAATAGTAGTTATCAAGTGGGTTCAAATAAAATATTTATACAAAATTTACACAACTTTAATTCTAATTTATACATATACACAATATTAATTTTTAGCGAAGCGGGTTCAGTTGAACCCGCTAGCCATCACGTGGGTCCGCCACTGCCCTCTGTTCTATTAGGGGTCGTTTTGTATGAGGTATAAGTAGATATAGTCCTGGTATAAAATTTTAATACCACCTTAATACTTTGTTTGGTTAGCAAACCTGGTATAAGTTATCCCGAGATTAAAATTAGTATCAGAATAACTTATACCTTGTAGGGCGGTGGGGTAATTAGTGCCGGAATAACTTATACCTTCTTGTTAGAAATTATGCAATTATCATTTTTAATACAACATACCAAACAATGGATAAAAAATAATATCAGGATAACTAATCTCAGCATAACTTATCCCAACATAACTTATCCCAACATAAGCCGTATTAAAATCAAACGACCCTTATAGTATTATTTTATGTGACAATATCTTTTTGTTAGTTCCTTTTACAAAGAATATCATTCATTTTTAGAAATATTGAATTTAAAATTTTTTATTTTATCTGTAATGACATGTTTATAATTATAAAAATATCATAATAGGTTTAAAATCATAGATTTTCAAAATCTTTCTTTCTTTTTAAAAAAAAAAGGAAGAAGAAGAGAGAATCATGCCACATAAATTAAACAGAACAACAATAACAACAACAACAACAACTCAGTAAAATTTTACTAATGGGATCTGAGGAGGATAGTGTATATGCAAACCTTACTCCTACCCCGAAGGAGTAGAGAGACTGTTTCCGAAAGATCCTCGAGTCAAAAAAAATAAAAAATAAAAGAATAAAAATAAAATAATATTAGTATCATATTACCAATCATAGAAAAAATAGTAACACCACAAAATCTACCACTAATGTGTAAAGCAAAGGGAGACACATAAATTAAACAGAGGAAATAGTAAATCTTAATGATTCAAGTTGACATGAAAATAGTTACTACTATTATAATTTAGTTAATTGATGAAAATTTAGTTTAAAGACTGAATTTATCCCTTCAAAGCTCAAACTTTAAAGTTCAATTACTTGTCTGTTAAATAGTTCTTGCATTTCTAATCTCTCCTCCTTGGAACCCGCGTTGTGTTTCTGTACAGTCTCAGCTCTTTCTTCACACGGCGGAGTTTATATTGTCATTACATACTCTATTAGATTTCAACCCCTTTTTGGTATATCCAAAACCTTAGTATTACGGGTTCTCCACCCTTTTTCCCAGTTCATTTTTTGCTTCTTAGCCATATACAACATGTGTCTTTTTGTTGATTCATTCAGCTAGACAACTTCAGAATTTGATTGACAGCTAAAACCTTCAAATATCCAGTTAAAAGTCTGGCTTTCTGGGATGCAGTGAAGATCCTGATATGTGCTCAAAGGAACCATTTCTTGGATACTGTCAAGTTCCTTAATTGAGATTCAGCCTTTATCGCTCTGATTCATCAAAAAGAAAAGAAAGAGAATTGGGGAAAGATTTTATAGTTTGATATTGGATTCTTGGAAAATTTGAGGCTTCTCTAGCAAAAACTTATTGGGTGATTTTTGTTTGTTGGACATCTTCAAATGGAGGGTATTGTCTCATTTGATGGAGGTACAATGTCTTCACATATAGATGAAACATTCAACAATGCAATTGAGATGATGAATTTTGAAGCATATGCCGGATGGTGCACTAGCCCCTGTGCTATAGAACAAATGTTTGCCTCTTATCCATCATTTTCGCCGATTAATCCAATGCCCATCAATTATGCACCTTTTGAACAATTGAACTTTGAACAACAGTTTCCCTGTGAAGGGGAAAATTGGATGTTTCAGCAGAATAATGATGACCAGTTACGCGATTCTAGTGAAGAGGCTGATTATGTTTCTGATACTGACAACTGTATAATCCCAAAGTCACCTTGTCAATCACTTCCGGAGCGAATGCTCAAGGCATTAGAACTGTTTAAAGAATCATCTGGTGGGGGAATCTTGGCTCAGGTTTGGATTCCTATGAAGAATGGTGATGATCACTACATTTTAAGCACCTGTGAACAGCCATTTCTACTTGATCAAGTTCTATCTGGATATCGAGAGGTATCCAGGAAATTCACTTTTGATGTGGATATGAAACCAGGATCTTTTCCAGGTCTTCCTGGTCGAGTTTTTACTTCGAGAATACCCGAGTGGACATCAAATGTTCAGTACTATAGAGAGGCCGAGTATTTACGTGTACGATATGCAGTTGACCATGAAGTCCGTGGATCGATTGCTTTACCAGTTCTAGAGGATGATGGACATGATACGCCGTGTTGTGCAGTACTAGAACTAGTCACTACAAAAGAGAAGTCGAATTTTGATTTGGAAATGGGACATGTTTGCCGGGCTCTACAGGTTCTTGCTTTAATTCTATCAGTTCCTTTGTTTTTCGTTGCAATAGTACCTTTTCCACTGAGAGAGAATTTTATTTCAGCGTAATGAGGATGAAAATAGATGATCCAAAAACTGTAATATCTTCCGCAGAATATATTTTGGAATATGTTTAAAAGCTTGATAAGCAGGCTAATAGTCTTTGCTTCAAGTATAACTTTTGACTACTAGGCTTTTCCTTTTTAGTTTTTTAGTTTTTCTTTTTTCGGGGTGTGTTGTTCATAATAAGTATCGATGGATGAAGTTTAGATCGAATATTATTGCCTTTAAGTGCCTTTGATTGGATATCGAGAGCTTTAAAAAGAACAGAAAACATGATTTCGCATGAATTAATTGTCTTAACAATTTCTTCCAATATAGTGTATGACAACTTCATATTGTAAATTTTCACTTTCATTTTTTTTCTGGTGATGCTCGTGATGTACAGTAGTTAAGTTCTTTCCTGTCAGCAGAGAAAATGTTTTGTCAGTGTTCTTCCTTCAGTAATATGTTTTAGTTGGATATGTAGCCCGGATACAGGGGAATTTTTGGTTGATCAATAGTCAATCTTTATGTGTTAGTTCATAGCTGGCCTGCTCGAAAGTTTATGCTGATGATCATCTCTTAATCTATTTTAGTTGTATCCTCAAGAAAATAATGGGTTAAGATTACTGTGTGGTCATTTTGCAGTCCGTAAACTTAAGGAGCACAACACCTCCTCGATTTAGTTCCCAGGTAATACTCAATGTCTTAATCCCATCTGTGATCTATACATTGTTTGTGGCCATTTCTTTTTGTCTTGGAATATTTTGTTCCCTTCTAATTTTGCTTCCTTGCAGAGTCTCTCAAAGAATCAAAGAACTGCTTTAGCTGAGATAAAAGATGTTCTACGAGCAGTTTGCCATGCTCATAGGTTGCCTCTTGCTTTGACGTGGATTCCCCGTATTTGTACAGGAGGATGTATTACAAGCTCAGATGAAAAAAGTGTATTATGTGTTGAGAATACAGCTTGTTATGTGAGTGACAAGGAGATGCACGGATTTCTTCATGCATGTATGGGACATGATCTCGAGGAAGGACAAGGTATTGTTGGGAAATCTCTCCAATCCAACCATCCCTTCTTCTACCCTGATGTGAAAGAGTACCATATAAGTGAGTATCCACTTGTTCACCATGCACGGAAGTTTGGTCTAAATGCTGCAGTTGCTATCAGATTACGTAGTATATTCACCGGTGATGATGATTACATATTGGAGTTCTTTCTTCCTGTCGATATGAAGGGAAGCACCGAACAACAGCTTCTCTTAAATAACCTCTCGCGTACCATGCAGAGAATTTGCAAAAGTCTGAGGACAATATCAGATGTTGAATTAGTTGGACAAGGGGGTGCAAAGTGTGGGTTACAGAGTGAATCGGTTCTGGATTTAACACCAATTGACTTGTCAAGGAAGATTTCTCAGCATTCTTTATTAGGCAGCACTTTAGATTTGAGTAAAGCAACTTTAGACGTATGTGATTCAGAAATAGCTGGAATGGAAGCTGATGGTTCTCGCGAACAGGTACATCACTTAACTCAACTTCCTTACTGTTATCTAGCTCCCCTAGCTTATTTGGTGGACTATGTTTTACTCTGCTTAAGGTCTTAACTTGTTCTATTTTTATAAACAGAATCTTTTTTTTTACCCTTTTTACGTATTCTTGAGCGAATGTCTTTCGCTCTTGAGAATTGTTTTTCAGTAACTCTTACTTTATGTGCTCCTAGACAAGTTATGTTCATTCTATATGTTTTTAAATTCTGATCTCATCCTTTTTGTCTGTCAATACTGAAGTTATTGCATTTTATTTTGTAGACAATGAGTGTATCAAGAAGACAGAAGGAGAAAAAAAGAAGAGCGGCAGAGAAACACGTCAGCTTGAATGTTCTTCAGCAATACTTCTCTGGGAGCCTCAAGGACGCTGCCAAAAGCATTGGTGGTAAGAATTCACGCTCTCGTCTAGTGGAAACAATCAACTAATTTAAACATTCTTGAAAAATGTATTATTATGTTGGTATGTTTCCCGTTCCATTGGGTTGTGATTTTCTGATTCAGAGAGATACCTTGCAAAAGCTTAATGGACCTTGTCAGATTTTTGTGGTCGTCCCAAATTGGGGCTAATATACACGTACTGAGTACCATCTCTTGTCCCTCTATTTGCCTTCTAACGTGATTTTGGGCTCTAACCCATACATCCCAACTCTCCTATCACGATTCGAATATGCTATTTTTCTTTGTGCCAATTCAATCTCTAATTCTATGTATCTGTTAGTAGTGCCTGGAAATTTAGGTGACAGCTTAATTAAGCCAAAAGTTTAGCATACCCCAAAGGAAAAACAAATGGGAGACAGAAGAAAAACCATTAGATTAAACTATGAGCTGTTCTTCAATGATTTTCTTAAAAGAAAAGTGTCATTATCAAAGGATGCAGACTCTTTAAGGTTTAAAAAGAAAACTGTTTGAAGTTGAAATCACAAAATTAACTAACTTGCAAAAGATGGTTAACACTTTTTTGTTATGTGTTTTTTTAGTGTGTCCGACTACATTGAAAAGGATATGTCGGCAACATGGGATCCCAAGATGGCCATCCCGAAAAATAGGCAAAGTGAATCGTTCTTTAGTAAATATACAAACTGTGCTTAAATCAGTCCAAGGGATTGAAGGAGGATTAAAATTTGATCCAGCCACTGGAGGTCTAGTTGCGGCAAGTTCTATCCTTCAAGATTTTGACTCAGAGAAAAGTATGCTCTTTCCCTGCAAAGAAGTCTCTGTGAAAAATCCAGATTCCCAGGATGCTGTGTCTGTCCTCCAAACTTCATGCATTGACAACCACGACTCTGTGGTGAAAATGGAAGAGGATACACATGTGGATGGAAACCAACTAGCAGAGTCAAACAGTCCATTTTCTGGATTTTGTCATGGCTGCAAATTGGCTGCATTAGATGCAGGGTCGCCTGCAAGTCAGGACAAAATGCAATGTACCAACTCTAGAAATGTGTCACTAGGTTCTTTCTGTACGAAAGAAGGATGCAGGAGTTGTCGTTTGAGCACAAGCAACTTAAAGTTGGACAATTCCGGCTGCCATTTCATCAGTCGATTCCCACATTCCATGCCTGACGCTGATGATGTTGAGAAAAAAACTAGAGCAAGTAACGAAATGGATGGAGATGATGTTGTTATGGAACATAACAAGGGAAGTTCTTCAGGGATGACAGATTTGTCCAATGTGTCCGGTTCAATGATGAATGGCAGTTCATCAAGCTCTCACAGTTTTGGTGAACGAAAGCATACCAAAGTTAAGGCAAGCAGTGAAGATGGTGGGTCATTAATTACCATAAAAGCTACTTACAAGGAAGATAGAATCCGATTTAAATTTGAGCCTTCAGCAGGGTGCTTTCAACTCTATGAAGAGGTTGCAAAGAGGTTCAAACTGCAGACCGGGGAGTTCCAGCTCGAGTATCTTGATGATGAAGAGGAATGGGTGATGTTGGTAAATGAAGAAGACTTGCACGAGTGTCTTGAGATACTCGATTCTCTTGGTACTCATAGCGTAAAATTTCTTGTTCAAGATGTGTCATGTGCTATAGGTAGCTCAGGCAGCAGCACTAGTTGCTTTTTGACGAGTGGCTCTTAGTTATACAGTGCAGAGAAGCTTCTTGAGAAGCTCAGGCAGCAGTAGAGCTCTTTGTTCTACTCTCACTTTTATGCAGTTGATATCGAGTCATCGGTACTTGATCCCGGCAAGAGATCCTGATAAGAAAAACTGAAATCCATAAGAGGATGCACTAATAGAAGCATTATACTCGGCCAAAATCATTTGTTAATATGTTACATTTATATTGTGTATAGGTAAGATAAGTGTCAGGTAATTGTAAGAGTTTAAAATAGTTAAGGCACTAGATCTCAAGTGCCTCAGCTGCTAAAAACTGTTAGTTTAAGATAATGCTTAAAGGTAATGGTGAAAAGTAAGCTTTAAGAGTCTTTCTATAAGAAATACAAAAAGTTGTCATATCTTTGCATGAATACTTGTAGACAATAAATTTGTGTGGAGAAAATAAAATCAAAACCGAAAAATATTGTAACAATCGTAGTATTTTATTTCAAATAATATGAGTGTACAATCTCTATTGATTCTACTTTTCTAATATAAATTCAAAGGACTTTGAGCTTGACCTTGAATTTGAATTTGATTTATCCGTCTTGAATTCAACTAGCACGAACTTTGATTTGAACTCGTACTACTTGAACTTGATTTGTCCTTCGTTCTTGAGTTTGAACTTGATTTGTCCTTCGTTCTTGAACTTGAACTTGATTGCTTGAAGCTTGAAATTTGTGGAGGAATTTGCAGCATTTGATCCACAAGCTCTTTCTTACTTCTTGTTATAACTTCTGGTGTCTTTTCTGGGTTATGAAGACCCTTATTTATAGTTGTGGGAGGGAAGAGTTATGATAAGAATAAACTCTTTCCGACCAATCAAATTGAAGTGTGACAAGGCCGCATTTAATTGGCCAGAACATGTCGCTTGCATACGTGGCGCGATTTCATTAGCCTTTTAATGTGACTTGGCATGCCTTGTCATTTGGACATGTGGCATGATCCTATTGGCTCTTCCGTTTGACTTGGCGTGTCACGTCATTTGACAAGTGGCACCAAACTGAGCCTCTAGGAAGATGAAATCTTGGGCCTAATGAAGTGGGTTTATCACTTGTAGCCCAACTAAATGGTCTAACCCAATGGATTAAGACTTATTTATTTAATCTATATATATTGGATTTATCTAATTAATTCAATTATATTAGCCCATAATATTTATTTAGACCAATATATCTTGAATTTAAAATATAGCCCAAATAATTTTATGATTTAATCCAATAAAATTTAGATGCCTACAAATGCCCCCTACTTCAAGACTTGTCAGGGCATAAATATGTCGAGTTTCGAAGACTAGACTTGAAGTATCACGAATTAATATGTAATTTAAAGTGCACTGTAGATGTATTCACGCATTACTTCAAAAGAATTGAAATAATAAGATTCTGCTTAAATGAGCTTCCAATACATATAGACCAATGTCCAAACACTTGGTTCATTTCTAGAAGATTCACGTGGCCTTTGGCAGAATGCCAATAAGAGTCATGTTCTAACTTTTAGGCCAAGAAATCACAATCCATCTTGCCAAATATATTGCATTCCTTGTTTAAGGAAGTATATACGTATAAAGCTATATTCACGCACAGTGCCTCGTGCAAGCATGGAAGGCCGAATCTTTTGCTAGCAGCAACCAATTAGATTTGAGATAGAGAGCCAAATTATATTCCAATTGAAATCATAACAAGAAAAGGATTCTACTCTGCCTAGGAAAAGGAGCGCCTGCCACCGCCTCTCTCAGCATCTAATCCCACATCGGAAAACACTTTTAGAGTGCTCTCTTTCATAACCTATATAAACCCATAGTTCTCATGTTAACCGAGCATCAACCGTGGACGCCTCAAGTCAGTTCGACTTCTGGCTTTGACGATTAGGAAGCACTAGTTTGAAGGTGACTTTCTCCTTCTATTTTTTTTTGCTTTTTTTTTTTTTTTGCTTTTTATTGCTCGCTCTTGTAGGTCAACGTAGAAGGATATGCTTTTGCTTGGCAAGACGATCCATGCATGAAGAAGGCATTCATAGGGTGTGAGGGGATGAATACTCATCCTTGCCCGAATATCGAAGAGATTACTCTCAATGTGGCTCGACTATCGGAGAGATTACTCTCAAAATGACCCGACTATCAGAGAGGTTACTCTCAATGTGGCTCGACTATCGGAGAGATTACTCTCAAAATGACTCGACTATCAGAGAGATAACTATCAATGTGCCCCGACTATCGGAGAGATTACTCTCAATATGGCTCGACTATCGGAGAGATTACTCTCAAAATGACTCGACTATCGGAGAGATTACTCTCAATATGGATCGACTATCGGAGAGATTACTCGCAGAATGACCCGACTATCAGAGATATTACTCTCAATGTGCCCTGACTATCGGAGAGATTACTCTCAAAATGACCCGACTATCGGAGAGATTACTCTTAATGTGCCCCGACTATCGGAGAGATTACTCTCAAAATGACCCGACTATCGGAGAGATTACTCTCAATGTG